TCTCCAACATGGGCTTGCTTTAGTCACACCACTTGCCCACTTGCCTGCACCACTTGACCACCTGCCTGCACCACTTGACCACTTGCCTGCACCACTTGACCACTTGCCTGCACCACTTGACCACTTGCCAACCTTCTAGAAGGACTGTAGCTAGCCTTCTAGTCTATAGGTCTACGGATCGAATCCTGGCTACCTATAGACCTACGACAAACCTACCTACCACTGGCGGTTCTACAGGTCGCAGGTTCAACTCTTCGAGTTGACGCAGGTATTGTACACAGGTAAGTTGGGGAACTAGGGATCGAGCCCTGGGATCTACCTCAGCTACCACGAATTGGTGAATACCGTTTCATAAAAATAGATCGAGTGCAGTATATCTGTTCTGATCAGTTTAATATCTGATCCTTGGTCAATCGGGTCCCTCTAACAAAAAAAAACAATGTATGCGTGTCATCCTTGCGCAGGGCCCATACCAATATTTTTCTCTGTATTTTTCCAATTTTCACGGACGTCCTGAAAGGCAACGGACCTGAGTTTGATATGTAAAATCTCTCTAAATTACCTGGGACTGTTTTTTTCTCAAAAAAAAAAAAAAAAAAAAAAAAAAACCCTGGGACTGGTCAATTTGATTGCTGATACCTCAACGCCGTCGCCTTTTTTGCCGTTGGGAAAAAAAAGGAAGGAAACAAAAAAGGGAACTCACTACAGCCTTGCAGGGGTGGGGTGGATATCACGACCGGTATGGTTCCACTTTTGAACACCGTGTCCTGGCTCTGGTGGTTAAGATACCTGGCTCTTGAGGCCGAAGTCGCCGGTTTGAATCCGTGCTTGCACGGTGGAGGACGTCGGGCTCATGCTGGGATGGGTAGTGCCATCCTGTAACCTCAGCTGTTGGGGAGCTAGATGTGCAGATTCACTAAGCTGCTGTGGAAGCACCCGTTAACCGCCGGGTGATGTGGCCCGTGTAGGTGGACGGGAGGGAGTATCAGTGGTAAGGATTTGTGCTGAATGGCGAGAGCGAGGTGTACGAGAATTGCCGTGTCCGTGTGGTGTTGTGTGTGGTGTGTGTTGAGTTGGACACTACAGCCTTGCAGGGGTGGGGTGGATATCATGACCGGTATGGTTCCACTTTTGAACACCGTGTCCTGGCTGTAGTGGTTAAGATACCTGGCTCTTGAGGCCGAAGTCGCCAGTCGAATCCGTGCTTGCACTGTGGAGGACGTCGGGCTCATACTGGGATGGGTAGTGCCATCCTGTAACCTCAGCTGTTGGGGAGCTAGATGTGCAGATTCACTAGGCTGCTGTTTGTATTCCCATCCTGAACTTCACAGCATTATTCTACACAGCATTTGTTTTCCAACTTTTAATGTTGGTTTGACAATTATGCCCTGGATCTGGTGAAGCCAGTGGCCGTGCTGCGTGGTTTGACACCCGAGCACCCAGATCCTTGCACCTCTCAGCTCGAAGCCTAGATTTGAACCTGCCAAATGTTTTCCATAACACTGTACTGAACGGTTGAAGACTGCTGAAGCTCTTCTTCTTCTTTTTTTTTTTATAAGGGCGACGGCCTTGAGATATTATCATTGAGCTGACCGGCCCCGAGCAATTCAATACTAGTTGGTTTTACTCGTCAAGTTCCATCATCTGGATTCGAACACAGGTCTCTCTTTCAACAGTTCATGGGTGTACCCACTGAGCTAGGCTCTTGGGTGCTGAAGCTCTTCTTCTTTCTTTGAGCTGAAAAAGATTGTCTGTAACCAGACTGCCATTTGCCAAAATGAAACAAGCCATAGCCAGACGGCTCCATGGATGGATGGAGGGAGGGATGGAGGGATGGAGATGGAGGGATGGAGGGATGGATTGGAGGAGGAGGAGAGGGAAGAGGGGGGGGGGATGAAAGGGACTGGGAGGATAAGGGAGGGGACTGGTTTGGGTGGGGGGGGGCAAACCTTGCGGAGGCTTGGGGGCTTTGGGCAGATAACAGATCGGCTGTTACTACCATCCCTGTTGACGGG